TATATATATATATATATATATATATATATATATATATATATATATATATCAGAGCTTCCTAAATGGCTATCTAGAAGCGACAATTAATCTTAGTGAACAGTTTGGACATTTGTGGCATAATCTTGCAGACAAAGCAGTTGCTCCTTACTATGTTTCAGATATTAAGTAAAATATTGTTTCCTACTTTGGGCTTTAGAAACTGCTTGATGTATTGTCACTGTAATTTGACTCTTAACAATTTATTATACCTGCTCTTGTCTTTATTTTTTTTTCTTTTATATGACATGCTGCTAATGATTATTTTTAATTATAATTACACCAGGTTCCTAATCATTGATGGGTATAATTTATAAAGGAGAATATTTGTAGCTCAGGGTTGAAATGAGGGGTCCTCTTTGCTCTCTGAGCTTGGCTGCTTCGCTGCAGATGTTTCATTCCCCAAGATAGGTAACATCATCAGTGCTAGTAAGGAGTGGGATTTCCTCTCAGTTTATATTCTGGGGGCTTGCCCTGTCTGTGTTGGTGGGAGTGGTCTTAATGGTTCTTTGGTTGGGCTATTTACTGTTGGCTGTTGGGTATAACATATATTAAATAAAAGCAGAGGAAAAATTAAACATTCTGTTTTATTTTCTAAAATGGGGAGAGTTATTACAGGAAAAGAAGTTGTTAAATGTATTTGATCACTCAGGGTTGTCCATAGGGGATTCAAAAACGTCAAGATGACAACTGCAACTGCAACATTAAAGCACTGCCCTTCTGACTGTTTTGTCCTTTACCTTGAACAGTTCTTAAAACACATTTACCTAGTGTGACTGTAAATCATGTCAAACAGACATTTCCACTTTTAGCAAAACAGAAGTGAAGAAAACGTCTAAAAGGATGATTTGAGCCCAAGAAAATTGGGTGCTGCTAAGAAAGAGAATGTTGGTGGATCTAATACAGCTTTTAGCTTTTTTTCCCTACCCTTTCTTGCAATTTGTTTATATTTACTGAGCGCAAGAAACACAACTCTAATCACATATTTTTACTATATTCATCTACTTTTTTATTCTTCATCAGCAGATAGTTACAATAGAAAAGAAGAATCATGTCAAACCCTTTCACTGATGTGAAAGCATGCATATCGTTTTATGGTTACCTTTCACTGAATTGTCTACTTTCAGATTTATGACTTCTTAAGCTGCAGATTTGCTTTTCGGTTTTCTTTCTGCCATACAACAATCTCATATTTCTATCATTTAATAGTTAGAGTGACTTGAGGAGTTGACACATGACACGTAAGCCATAGTTACTTTAAATTACTTTCTACTATCACATAGCAAATGTCCATGCATGAAAAATTATGGCTATATTGCTCTTTAATTTTCAGTAAATAGTAGCCCTTTTAAGAACTATTTTCATATTGCCTAATTATGCTTGATGGTTTATTAGCAAACTAAACTAGCAAAATAGTTTCACCAGTTTCCATAATCCTTAGCCAGATTAGCCATTGACTGTGCTCAGTAGCACAATCTGTGACTCAGTAGCCAGATTGGGAAATTCAGAGTTTATATTTTTTGTCAATAAATTTCATGGGCTTATGATTCTTGGTAGGGCCTTAGGGAAACAGAACAGAACAAAGGAAGAAAAATGTGTTCCTAATTATTCCAATGAAGATTGGAATCTTCTGAAAGCTATACTTTCTCCTTTTCAACAAAGAACCCTTAAAAGTGGAGGAAAAGAAATCTCATGTTTCTGATGTTGTGCTATTCCAGATAATCCTGAACTACACTCGTGTTACAATGAATGACAGCCATAGACAGGAGCTAAAAATTGTGTCAAAACTGTAGTCCCAGTTATTGATTTACAATTATCTGATGAATACCAATCTCTTAAAAACAAGAGTCCTTATATCGCACACAAATATGAATACAAATATGTACTTAGAGTATTTATCTAAATTTTGTATATTCATCAGAAACAAGTTACTGGTCACAGATTTTTAAAAAATCTCAGCAAAATTTTCAAATATTTAGGTTCAGCCTTGATATCAGCTATAAAAGGCAAATGTCTAGTTCCTCATGAATTTCAGAAATTGTACTTCTAATTATATTTTATCCTTCTTGCTGGCATGGAGGACTTTCTAAGCCTGAACCTTCCTAGTCTATTGTTATTATGATTTATTCAGAATTTAAACCGGGGACTCTAAAACAGCTATCCCTAGCCTGAGTATTCTCTGTCATCCCAGAACTAAATGGCTGTTTGGGGAATATTGAGAATTAAAGTTCAACCCAGGAGGGTATTCTGACTGGGAAAGGAACAGCCAGCCATGCAGGCCAGGGAATTCTGGGAGTTGAGGTTCACACTTCTTAAAATTGTCGAGGTTGAAAAATATTGAACTAGCAGTTACAATAGTCAAAGTCCCAAGCAAGAGGCAAATTAAAATTTCAGTTGGGACAAAGTTTGTGAATGAAAGGGTGCCAGGAATACAGTCTGCTTCTTTCATGTGCATACAATGGCAGCTTCCAAAAGTAAAGGCTCCTAATAACTGATGGAATAAATTGTACTGAATGCAATAATCTACAGCATCTACAAAGAAAAGCAGTAATTCCTTTGGTACCATTTTTTTCCTTTAGATAAAATATCGACAGTACCTGTGAAAAGTACATCTCAAGAGCCTTTGACTCATTGTCTAAACCCACCAGCAATGGTTTTTAAGTGCAAAATTGTTCATTGCCAAAGAGGAAAAATAATATACTTTTAAGATGACATTTTTGATTGAAGGCGATAGAAAATATTGCAAGTGCCATGAAGGCATAATGCACAATTTTAAAATTATTTTATAAGCAAATGGGTAACTTAAGCAGAGGCACATTTATAGAAAAAAGGAAGAAAGGAAGAAAGGACACTTCTTTTCTAGTTTTTTATTTCCACTGTGTTTCAACATCTCCTGCTATGTACAAATGCATAAGAATATTTTTGCTCTGCTAAGAAAAATCCTTTCAACCTCAGGTAACAGGGAGGTGAAGTCTCTTGAATCTACAGTATGTTTCCCTTTGAACCTTTTTTTCACAAATTTATTCTCCCTCCCTTTTTTAATGATGTTGCAAAGGAATGTTTTTCCTAGCAAAAAAAAGTCAGAATTCCATGCAGTGAGGAAATAAGGAGTCATTTTAGAGCATAAAACTAATGGGCAGGTGAACAAGGAATAGGCACTCTATTTCTTTCAAATTTCTCTTTCTCCTAAAATAATCTCTTCCTGTTACATGCAAATGTTGTGAGGCTCCAAACTGGGGGATGTAGTATGTGCAAAAGAAAGACACTGCTTTATGTTTTGTTCTATGCCACCATTGTAGAATAAAGCACAGTAGCCTGGATTCACGCATTGAATGAAGTCATAAAGTCATGAAGTCTTCCTCTGTGAGGGAGATGGCTGTATTTAAAATGTGATGAATACATTTAGTTCGCAAACCATGCAGTTCCCAAGACCCACAAAACCAAACCAAAAAAACCATATTTATTCTTTACGCTATGTGTGAACCAGGTCAGAGATGGTGACCATACCTGTAAAGGGACAGGGGTTCTGACAGGTGACATTTTGCTATTCTGTTCCAAAAATTACACTTCTTGTTTGATAGAACTAATGAGTTAAAAGTAACATTGAATATCATCTAATCTAATCCCTGGTCAGTGCAGGAGTTAACCAATTAAGCATTTGACGACAAAGCTAAGATCTTCTTTTTCCTTTGTAGCATCCCAACTTTAAAAATCTCTGTTCCTTCTCCTTTAGAATATATTGACTATCAATGGCTTTGGGTGAGGAATGAGCTGCTTCAAACTCACTGTAACATCATAGAGAAGGTAGGAAAAGTTCACCTGAGGGCATCTTCACTGAAATTTGATTTCCTTTTCACTCCAAAGGCAAATATCCAGAATTTGAATTTATCAGCAGCTTATAAAATGGAAATAAACAGATTTACCTTACCAGATTGAACAACATGTATCGTCTTTTCCCAGATCCCATCTGGAAAAGCATGAAAGGAACATTGGTAAAAACCAACATCTTCTTCAGTGGTTTTGCTGAAAATCAAGGTCTTATTGTTTGAGGTAAAATTAGTGACCAGGATTCTGGCCTTATAGCTGCTTTCTATATGTAGATCATAAGGTAGCCTGAAGACTGCAATGCTACTTTTGCTTTGATTCTCTTCCTTCTGCCATTCTATCTGAGAAATAGATGCATTCTTTGGGTAGACACATTCAAGAGCCATGGTCCTGGAGAGTTTCACAATTGAGTCCACATGTTTTCCTTCTGCCGTTAAAGATACATTGCCTAAATAGAACACGTTTATTTGGTTAAAAATTTTATTTTGTTAAAAAATATCAATTTAACACATGCTGCACTGATCAAACAAAGTGTTTTCCTCAACCTAAACTCTTTATAGTTGCACAGCAAGCTCACCAAACCCATCTCCAAAGTTATTACTAATAGCAATATGATGAGGTTATAATATTGGCTACAATCCTCCATTATCCAATTCATTTTGAATATAGTCACTAATAAGTAAACATCCATAGGATTGCAACACCAGAAACAAATTGCAGTGGTCTTACTTTTATTGGAATAAATTACTTCGAAACCTCATAGATTCACAAGACAAGTAAGCAGGCAAAAAACCAACAAGAAAGAAATGTATTGGTTAAGAAATGAGTCTTACTTTGATAGGACTGTAGAAAAGCCATCGCCAAGAACACAAGGCAATTCATCTTCAGCACAGCTAAAAGGACTGAGAGAGCTTCATCTATGCTTTCTGTGTTTCCTGGTCACATGATAGGGAGGATGGTATTTTTATCTGAACTAGCTAGACAAAGGGCTGCATCACTTTGGGGAGCTCTTGTAGTGTAGGAGTGTCTGCAAAGAGACACAGGAAGCTCATTTACACAAGTTGTCATGAATTCCATGACAATCTAGGACACCACAGGCTACTTTCTTACCTTTTAGATCTTCCAATATTACTTCTGTGCTGTGCTAAGAAAATTGATTGATTGATTGATTGATTGATTGATTGATTAGCTTCCTGAATTGGTTCCTTGTTTTCTCACAATGTTTTCTCTGTCTCATTAGTAGCACTTTGTTGCTATCTATAAAATTTGCTTGCTGATTATTTCCTTCCTTCCTTCCTTCCTTCCTTCCTTCCTTCCTTCCTTCCTTCCTTCCTTCCTTCCTTTTTTTGTTGTGCAAATGAATTTCTTTGCCAGGGATCAATTAAAGCCTCTCCTTAGCTTCCATGTCTATGGAGATTCTCAGTCATCCAGATCATGGTTGTCCCAAAGGTGCTTTTTCAAAGGGCAACTGGACTTTCTTTATGTTTGCTTGAAGACATTTTGCTTCTCATCCAAGAAACTTTTCCAGTTCTGAATGAAGGGAACTGAAGAAGCTTCTTGGATGAGAAGCAAAATGTCTTCAAGCAGAAACAAAGAAAGTCCAGTGGCTTTTTGAAAAAAAAAACACCTTTGGGTCCCCTTAGTTTCCATTTCAGTCAAGTAAAAGGTAAACTAATTTAATTGGCTTCAGTTAATTGGGCTGAACCAATAAAGCCTAAACATATTGTCTTGTTAGGCAGGCAAGGTGGTCACAGAATGTGAGACATAAATATTTGCTCTGTATACACTGATCTTAAAGGAAAAGGTATTATCTTGTGCAAAAACTCCCTTCAAGAGCAAAAGTGGCTGATTCAGAAGTTATTTACAATTACATTTTGATGTTTGTCACAGAAAATAACTTTGCATTGTAAGATATGTAACCCAGGTTTGCTAGTTCCCTGACAATTAGGATGGTTTTAATCAATACCAGTCTTTAATCATAAATTCTATTTAAGTGAAATGTCTATTCATTCTTTTTGTCATATTCTTGTGGCTAGATTTAGGCTATCTAGAATTGTAGAGTCAGATGAATGTTAAATTGTTAGAATATTGACTGTTATGGGATGGCTCTAAGACAGGGGTCTTCAAACTTGGCCCTTTTATGACTTGTGGACTTCAACTCCCAGAATTCCTCAGCCAGGCACGCTGGCTGAGGAATTCTGGGAGTTGAAGTCCACAAGTCATAAAAGGGTCAAGTTTGAAGACCCCTGCTCTAGGACAACTCAGAGCAGTCAGCTTGGTGCAGTCAGCTCACCGCTGTCAGCTTGTCGCCTCTGCCAACTCACCGCCAAGTCACCGCAGGACATTTCCACATAGCCAATTCACTGCAGGGACAACTCACCACAAGTGGCCTGAAGGAGAGCTGGGAAGGTGGGCCCCTAGAGTTATGGAATTTTTTTATATCTCCCATTCCTTTTTAGAATTATTAATACATCCCCTTGAAGATAGGAAAGTTCATAGTTATGTCAGCATTCCCTAATAGTTTTTGCTCAGGCAACCAGATCTAGTAGAGAGGGCATTCACCAGGTCTCTGCTATTAAACAATGTCATTTTGTTGGACCCCAGAGTTACGCCTTTTCAGCAATAGCAGCTGCATGTGAGACAGCATTTCCCTGGAAATCTAGATGATCCTTGATACTCTTTCAGTGTATGAGTCCTCCTGTTATCAATATGAGCTTTCTTGATTCATACAATACTGTCAATATGAGTAGGGTTATTCTTTATCCTTGTACACTGGGGTTATGCATTGTTGGTTTTTCTCTGTGTTTTTAATCCTTGTAAGCTACCCAGTTGCTTTGGTGATGGGTGGCTATGTCAATCACATAAACAAACAAAATACTTCCATTTTAATCCAACAGACAAAAGCTGTATATTACATAGCAAGTATAGCCCATAAAGTTAGAAGACAATATTATAAGAAATGACATTGGTTGAAACATAATTTCTCAGGCTGTATCACCTAGCTGTGAAATGGAGATACTGGGAAACAAGATAAGCATTTCATTGTTCCTGTTGTAAAGTTCCAAGGATGATATACTGAACAGAAATTCCATCATATTTAATTTAAAATTACTCAGTAAAATGCCACATGAAAGGCTCCACTCAGGACAGCAGCACAATGCACTTTCCCATATCAGATGTATTATCTAAGGGCTGCAAAGCAGAGTGCCAAGATAAATTACACCTGGCACTATACTGCCATCAGAGGTAGATAGCTGTTTTGATTTAAACTCAGGACAGGATGAGCCAGAGGCAGTAGCAGCACAATGATATGACTGTAACATTTCAGCATTTGGAACTGCAGATTTAATCTGATTAACCTTATTATTGATATTTCATCCTTCTTAATCAGATAGCTATTCTGGATTTTAATTTCTCTCTGCAAAGTCTTGACTGAAACTGGCAAAGAGCCCTGACTGGAAACTGCAGAAATTCTGGAGAGGAGGAAAGCCTATGGGATTGACCTCATATTTTACAGACTTTCAGGACAGCAGGCAATAAAATTGCTATTTGATGAAAACCACAGCTTTGTCTTAAATGAGAAATATTCAACCCGTTCCTACAAAAGACACAGCTCAATACATCAGCTTTGCTGCAATTCTTTTCTCTGAGAACATTAATTTAGCTTGCTTTGTCAAACAAAGAGTTTTTAACAATAACCGCCTCATCCTTTTTGGTGTATTGTTTTTCCATCCAAATGACTTTTGTTTTCATTTGGCATCCTAGGATGATGGGGGTTTCATGACTGTTCATGTTTACCAGGTAGCATCAAGGAAGGCTTCATTTGCAAGGGCATTGCTATATGAGCTTGACTCTTCTTCACAGAGTTAAAGGTACTTCAATACAGGAATGATCTTTTCCAGAATATGCGAAAGCAGCAATTAGCGTACAAAAAAAGTAATGAAAGCAATATAATCTTGCCAATATTGAAAAAAATACGGAGGCGTTAGCAGGGTATGGTTTAAAAAAAATCAAAATGGTGATGATGACATCTTTGTAATCAAGGTTCTGCCTGGCTTGATTGCACCATTGTGGTGACTTTTTTGAACAACTCTAAAGAGATTCTTGAAAACATATTTGAAGTTACACCAAAAGTTCTAATAAACAAGCATGTAAGGCACCGGTAAATAGGTTTTCGTGGTATCTGTAGCAAGAAAAGAAATTGAAACGGCAGCCACAGCAATGTGGTTGAAGCTCTGTCCGTAGGGAGAAGGTAGGGTTTTGATCACATTATCACAACTATCTTGAGGTTTTTTTTAAAAGTGTAAGTTATAAATATTCCTTGAACTGTTGACAAGGTTTAAACCAAAGAAAATGTTTTTTTTCACATTTGATGGAAATGCGATATAAAAGTTTCAGCTTCGGAGAAGAAAGATTTTGGTGAGCTTAGTGATGGATAACTGAACAACGGTAATGTATCAAAAAAAAAGGTGATGAGATCAGATTGCCCCGGAGGCAACCAAAAAGGGGGTGCTGCCAAAGATCACCAGGAAATTATCTGAAGAGGGAGTGGTAGCTGTGGTTTGGGTCATTGCTGCCAGAAATCAGTTGTTTGGCGATTGGCGGTGTAGTGATGGAGATGGAACCAGTGATATTTCTGCATGTTGTGCACAAAGCAGGGAGTAGAGCCATCCACATGTCAAATATGCTAAATACACCATTGATAAACAAAACAGTTTTCTCCATAGTTAGATTTACTACCTGTATTTGAGGATCAGAATAAAAAATTCAAATTAAAAAAACTAAACAGATTTCTATTTTTCAAAGACAAATTATTTCCAAATAATGGGATAATCTAGATGATATCTTGATGCATATGATATAAGATCTGCTCCAGCATTGCTGAGAAAGTTTCTGATAATTGCTTTACAATTCAAAGTGGCAAATCATTATTTATAAGACATAAGCATCCATATGAGACTCTATTAAAGTTATGCAGTCATAATTGAGTTAAAAAAACATACTAATTAAAGAAAACATACTACATGTAAACTTTAAATATAATTAATAATATTGAAAGAGAAATGTTAATTTTTTGACCCCGTTCCTTGCAGAGTGCTGTTGAGTTCATGTAGTCTCATTATTATATGTGTCAGACTTCAATTAATCTCTGTTAACATAATCCAAATAGCTAAGTATCAAAATGGGATTTCAAAAGGAAAGACTGGGCCAAGGTTCTAATTTGAACATTAACAAGGAGATTCTTGAATTTTAATAAATTGGGGATTAAATTGATCTGGAAAGTTTATTTTGAATTTGAGTATAGTACTTCATCAAATAGGCAAATCCAAGATGATCCACAATAGTATACAGGTAGTCTCGACTTACAACAGTTTGTTTAATGACCGTCCAAAGTTACAGTGGCATGGACCATATGACCATTTTTCAGTTATGACCATTGAAGCATCCCCATGATCATGTGATCAAAATTCAGATGCTTGGCAACTGGTTCACATTGATGACTGTTGCTGTGTTCCAGGGTCTTCTGATCACCTTTTATGACCTTCGGACAAGCAAAGACAATGAGGAAGCCAGATTCATTTAACAATTGGGTAACTAACTTATCAATTGTAATGATTCACTTAACAACTATGGCAAGAAAGGTCATAAATTGGGGCAAAACTCACTTAACAAATGTCTCACTTAACAACATAAATTTTGGGCTCAATTAGAAGGTGAGAGTGAAACATGCCCAAAACCTGCCACTTTTGCATCCAAGTGATGCATGCTAAATAAGAATGGGACTTCAAGTGAGCCTTTTTGCTCATCATCCTAACTTTTTCAACTCCACCTCCCACAGGAGGGGGAGGGTCTTGCCACTGCTTTGCCACCAATGCATTCTGACCTAAATGCTGGTATATCTGTTTAATTCCTGCATGGGGAAAAATATAGTAATTTGGCTGACA